GTCACAAACTTAAAGTCACTGGTTCTAGATCCTGTTGTCAGGTATGCGTCATAATTGTAAGCGCTGCGTAAAGTTCCTGTGCCGTCAACATCTGCGTAATTAGGAGGGAGATAAGCGCTGGGGATGGCAACTGCTCCATCAAACAACAGTCTGGGCTTTCTCCTGCGACAAAACCTCACACCCAGGATGATGATGATGAAGGTCAGAAAAAAGGTGGACACAGAAACCAGCGCGATGATCAGATAAGAGGTCAGTTTGGAATTCTTCTCATCATAAGAAATATCCTTCAGTTCTGGCACCTCAGCCAAGTTATCAGAAATAAGTAAATACATGGAACAGGTGGCAGAGAGAGAGGGCTGTCCGTTATCTTTCACTGACACAATAAGGTTCTGTTTCATGCTGTCTGATTCAGAAATGTCCCGTTGTGTCCTGATCTCTCCGCTGTGGAGACCAATAGTGAAAAGTCCCGGATCAGTGGATTTGACTATATGATAAGACAGCCAGGCGTTCTGTCCGGAGTCCGCGTCCACCGCTATCACTTTGGACACCAGAGAGCCTCCGTGTGCAGCTTTGGGGACCAGCTCGGTCATGAACGAGTTGCCCTCAGGGGCGGGGTACAGTATCTGAGGAGAGTTGTCATTCACATCAGATATAAAGACACTGACGGTCACGTTGCTGCTGAGCGGAGGAGAACCGTTGTCTCTGGCCATCACGTGGACTTTAAAACTCCTGAACTGTTCATAATCAAACGACCTCACAGCGTGGATCACCCCCCGTATCTCCGTTAACAGACAGATAGGAGGACACCGGGGCACCGTTCACCTCACCAGCTAACAGAGAATAAATCACTGTACCGTTTTGTCTCCAGTCGGGGTCTCGAGCAGTAACTGAACATAAAGTGGAGCCAGGTTTGTTATTTTCAGTCACATATGCGCTGTAGGACTGTTCCTCAAACACAGGTGGGTTGTCGTTCATGTCTGCTACAGATAACTGAACAGTTTTAGAGGAGGACAGAGGTGGAGAGCCCTCGTCAGTGGCAGTGATTGTAATGTTGTAATCAGACACTAGTTCACGGTCCAGTTGTCCTGTGGTCACCAGAGAATAATAGTTTTTAATAGAAGGAACCAACTTAAAAGGGACGTTTTGTTGAATTGAGCAGCGGACCTGTCCGTTAGTCTCAGAGTCTCTATCCTGCACGTTAATGATCCCCACCTCTGTACCAGGTGACACATTCTCAGGTATGGGGTTAGTGAGTGATTTAATAAACGTAAGAGGGGCATTGTCATTAACATCTGTAATATCAATTATTAATGTAGAGGATGAGACTAATCCAAGACCATCCTTTGCTGTAATTTCCATTTCATAGGAGGACAACTCCTCATAATCTATTGATCCACTTACTTTCACTTCACCAGTTGTCTGATCAAGAGAAAACACGTTGTTACTCTCATCTGAAATGTGATCAAATTCATATGTGACCTCTCCATTGACTCCCTCGTCTGCGTCAGTTGCACTCACTGTGACCACTACAGTGTCTAAAGGAGAGTTTTCAGGCAGACTGGCCTTATAAACGGCCTGACTAAACACTGGGGCGTTATCATTAGCATCCAGCACAGTGACGTGAATTACTGCAGTACCCGATCTCTGAGGTGTGCCCCCGTCTGTTGCCACAAGCACAATTGTTAGCTCTTGTTGTTTTTCTCTATCCAACTCCTTCTCTAAAACTAATTCGCTGTATTTTCCTCCTCCGCTTTTTGCAATAACATTCAATCTGAAGTTTTCATTTGCCTCGATACTATAGCCCTGTATAGCGTTTTGTCCGATATCTGCATCGTGGGCCTCATCTAGACGGTAGCGACTTCCTTTAGAAGCCGATTCCCTAATTTCAAATTTGATTGTATTCTTTTTAAATTGTGGTGAATTATCATTAATATCTTGAACGTGAACATTAATGCGGTGCAGCTCTAAAGGGTTTTCTAAAACAAGTTCCTGTTTTAAAATGCAGGATGCCTTTTTCCCACAAAGCCCCTCTCTGTCAATCCTATCGGCAACAATGATATCTCCAGTACCCAGATTAATGTCACAATACCGTTTGCTGTTCCCATCTGCATCAATACGAGCCTTTCGAGCAGCGAGTTTGCCCACCTCAAGTCCAATATCTTTCGCTATATTCCCGACAACTGAGCCGCGTTTCATCTCCTCTGTAAAGGAATAAGCCACATCTCCACACACGGTTGGCAGCGCCAGAAGAAATACTCCCAACGAGATAACCAGGCCGAGCACGGAAAATTCTTTGTGTCCCATGTTCATGCAAGACCAGTGCCCAATCCACTCCAACAAAGACTTTTAAAATAAAAATAATCAGCGAACCAGAATCCTCTTTGGACAACAATTGCAAGTCAGATAATAAACGGTGCGACGTCGCTGCTTGAAGCAATGAACAATCTATTGTGGGTTAGAAATGTTCAGGCGTGCAGGCCAGAGTGACATAAAGCAGCACCATTACGTAAATCTAGTGGACAGCGACACTGTGAGCAAATTGTAGGTATTACAAAATACTTGAATAATTGAGTCAGTGATGAGAAAGAAAAAAACAACATATTCTAGGCTGCAGTCAAATCGAAACATAAATAAATTGCCAAATAAAAATGTAGAGGGAAGCTTTCTATTCTAAATATCAGTGCGTATTTACCTCCATAAAACTGTTTTCCTGCACTCCAGTGACGAGAGTGGAAATCCATAAGGGTTGGGTTGTTTTCAGCACCATGGATAGTTACCACAGTATATCGCAAAAGTAATTTCCATTTCATAGGAGGACAACTCCTCATAATCTATTGATCTACTTACTTTCACTTCACCAGTTGTCTGATCAAGAGAAAACACGTTGTTACTCTCATCTGAAATGTGATCAAATTCATATGTCACATCTCCATTGACTCCCTCATCTGCATCAGTTGCACTCACTGTGACCACCACAGTGTCTAAAGGAGAGTTTTCAGGCAGACAGGCTTTATAAACGGCCTGACTAAACACTGGGGCGTTATCATTAGCATCCAGCACAGTGACGTGAATTACTGCAGTACCCGATCTCTGAGGTGTGCCTCTATCTGTTGCCACAAGCACAACTGTTAGCTCTTGTTGTTTTTTTCTATCCAACTCCTTCTCTGAAACTAATTCGCTGTATTTTGAGTGGAAATCCATAAGGGTTGAGTTGTTTTCAGCACAATGGATAGTTACCACAGTATATCGCAAAACATGGGCCAGGGACCATGTTTAACATGAGTCTCAGAAGATTTACCAAACTGCAAAATGAAAGTAATACTAACAAAACTGTGGTCGTTTTTCTTAAGGTGATACACTGATTCACATACCAAACAGCACCATTCCAGGGGTTCTTTAAGAGAAATAGCTGCTATAGCTATAAATAAGGATGATAAAGAGCTGAGAAATATGATGGATCCATGAAAACCACACAGGTTGGCATAACCTAAATCAGTTGATACTATATCTTTCTTCATTATCCCACCACTCTAGGCCACAGGTTAGGGAAGAATGTGGTCTTCATACCAACAACTGGTTTCCAGTATAAGTTATGGGCACTGACTGAACCTCATTTAGATTAAAGTCGGTGCTTATACCACAGCAGTAGGCTTCCATATGAAACGATTGTCATTGGCCGATTTCAGTTCAAGGATTATAGGAAGAGAAAGCAAAACGTTCATATACATTACTTAAAAGACAATGAAGCATTTCGAAACTCAGGCCACACATAGGCAATATAACAAATGTGGGATGGCAAGTGATAGAAAGAAAATTATCCTATACTTTTGGGATATTTTTTTTGCATTAGATAATCCATCATGGACATAAAAATTTACACTTGAACCAAAAATCGTAATTTTGATAAAACAGCCGCATGAAAGAGGAATGAGGTTAATAAGCATTTTTGAAGAAAATCCGTTTTAAAAAGCCACTTGAGGTTAAAGACAACATATCCAGACAGACAACAATTGACATTTTGTTCTGTCAGTCCACCCCATTTAAAAACTACAGGAAAAAAAGTGGTGTTCAAACAATGTCACCTAAACTAATCTGAATTTGTTTGGGTGTAAAGAATCCACACAGATTAAGGGATTTGACTGCGCCTACCTCTAGAGTATCCAACGAATCTTGAAAGACCTCAGCGAAATCACTAGGACTTTTCCTCAGAGTCTGGTCAGCAGGCAGTGTGTTGTCATTGTAAGATGTCACGAACTTAAAGTCACTGGTTCTAGATCCTGTTGTCAGGTATGCGTCATAATTGTAAGCGCTGCGTAAAGTTCCTGTGCCGTCGACATCTGCGTAAGTAGGAGGGAGATAAGCGCTGGGGATGGCAACGGCTCCATCAAACAACAGTCTGGGCTTTCTCCTGCGACAAAACCTCACACCCAGGATGATGATGATGAAGGTCAGAAAAAAGGTGGACACAGAAACCAGCGCGATGATCAGATAAGAGGTCAGTTTGGAATTCTTCTCATCATAAGAAATATCCTTCAGTTCTGGCACCTCAGCCAAGTTATCAGAAATAAGTAAATACATGGAACAGGTGGCAGAGAGAGAGGGCTGTCCGTTATCTTTCACTGACACAATAAGGTTCTGTTTCATGCTGTCTGATTCAGAAATGTCCCGCTGTGTCCTGATCTCTCCGCTGTGGAGACCAATAGTGAAAAGTCCCGAATCAGTGGATTTGACTATATGATAGGACAGCCAGGCGTTCTGTCCGGAGTCCGCGTCCACCGCTATCACTTTGGACACCAGAGAGCCTCCGTGTGCAGCTTTGGGGACCAGCTCGGTCATGAACGAGTTGCCCTCCGGGGCGGGGTACAGTATCTGAGGAGAGTTGTCATTCACATCAGATATAAAGACACTGACGGTCACGTTGCTGCTGAGCGGAGGAGAACCGTTGTCTCTGGCCATCAGGTGGACTTTGAAAACTCCTGAACTGTTCATAATCAAACGACCTCACAGCGTGGATCACCCCCGTGTCTCCGTTAACAGACAGATAGGAGGACACCGGGGCACCGTTCACCTCACCAGCTAACAGAGAATAAATCACTGTACCGTTTTGTCTCCAGTCGGTGTCTCGAGCAGTAACGGAACATAAAGTGGAGCCAGGTTTGTTATTTTCAGTCACATATGCGCTGTAGGACTGTTCCTCAAACACAGGTGGGTTGTCGTTGATGTCTGCTACAGATAACTGAACAGTTTTAGAGGAGGACAGAGGTGGAGAGCCCTCGTCAGTGGCAGTGATTGTAATGTTGTAATCAGACACTAGTTCACGGTCCAGTTGTCCTGTGGTCACCAGAGAATAATAGTTTTTAATAGAAGGAACCAACTTAAAAGGGACGTTTTGTTGAATGGAGCAGCGGACCTGTTTGTTAGTCTCAGAGTCTCTATCCTGTACGTTAATGATGCCCACCTCTGTACCAGGTGACACATTCTCAGGTATGGGGTTAGACAGTGATTTTAGATATATTACCGGGGCATTGTCATTTATATCACTAACATCTACGATGACTTTGGCATAGGAAGTTAATCCCAAACCATCCTTTGCTGTGACACGAAGTTCAAACGATGACATTGTTTCAAAATCAACCGTGGTCGTCACTTTTATGTCACCTGTCTTATGATCGATATTAAACATTGACTTAATATCTTCTGAAATGTGTCCAAAATCATATGTAATATCTCCGTTTAGTCCCTCGTCTGCATCAGTAGCACTCACTGTCAGCACAACAGTGCCTAGTGGGGAGTTTTCAGGTAGACTGGCTTTATAAACGGCCTGGCTGAACACTGGGACATTATCATTAGCATCCAGTACAGTGATGTGAATGACTACGGTACCTGACTTTTGAGGAGAACCACCATCCAGAGCTGTAAGGAGCAGATTGATTTCCTTTAAGTTTTCACGGTCAAGCTCTTTGTTAAGAACCAGTTCTACAGAATTAGTTCCAACGCCCAGAATAAAATTCTCATTTCTTTGGAGGTTGTAAGTCTGGACTGAATATTTGCCTATATCCGCATCATGTGCTTCCTCTATTGGAAAACGAGCACCTTTGTCAGCAGATTCACGAATATCTATGTGGATCGATTCTTTATTAAATTGCGGAGAGTTATCATTTATATCCTGGACATGCAGACTGATTCGATGCAATTCTAGCGGACTCTCTAACATGAGTTCTTGTTTTAAGACGCAGGAGGCTTTGTCTCCACAGAGGCCCTCTCTGTCAATCCTCTCGGCAACAGTCAGATCCCCGTTACGGAGGTTTATGTCACAATAACGTTTGTCGCTCCCATCGGTATCAATGCGGGCCTTTCGACTGGATAGTCTGCTTGTTTCAAGACCCAAGTCTTTGGCGATATTTCCGATCACGGATCCGCGTTTCATCTCCTCCGGAAAAGAGTAGCTAATATCTCCATTGGCTAAATGCAAGGAAAAAAATCAGCAAAAGAATGACCCAGCTTTGTAATGCGAGTCCCGAGATGGCCATCTTGAGCAAACCTGAAACGTTTCCTAGTCGGTGTGAAGGAACACAGCCAGAAAATTAAGGATTTAAACCGCAATGAACACAATCCAAGACCAAGTCTCTGTCTGAACGATCAACCGCAGCCTTTAGTCACATTACGCGTCAACAACAGTGGGTGGATGTCGACATGCATTATTTTAGAGCTGGTGCATAGCGACATCGTGAGTCTCTTCTAGAAACTGCTAGCAGCCGGTCCGTACAAGTCGTACAAATATGAAAAAGGCACATATGGGAAGCACATTCCTAAACAGGACAAATGATATGTTGAAATGTCCTTGAGAAATGTTAAGAGTATCAAACATATAGGACCACTTCTAAAACAACAGGGCACATCATATTAAGCACTCAAATAAATCCTAATATCTGTTTCAACATTTAAATTCCCATTTTAGAACAAAATACCAATAAAGTTTTGTGTTATGTAAACAAATCTCTGTGGTTAAATGTTTCTTGAGATGGTCTAACAGGTATCAAAAGAAATGCTTTGTCCAAAAATGTTAATGGGTTTGCAAACACTGGGAACAACGGAAGCCTATGGCAACATCCTCTAAAAAACAACAGTGAAAGAAATGATCAAGTTGTTAAAATAATGTGAGGAATGATTTAAGCCTGACGAGAAACTATTCCTATATTACATTTTATTATCACGTAAAGACCAAAAGAAAGAGAAATGAACAAGCTATTAAAGGCTGCAAAAAGAATAAAGCTTGATTTAATTGCAGGATTCTGATCACTTTGCTCAACACCATTAAAATCTTCCACAGGCTAGTCAGTGTTAACAAAATTCAAAAACCTCGACAAACAGCTCCAATTTACTGCAAAATACAACAAATATTGGAAATAGATTCATAATTGTAGAAATCAAACAAATGCATTACAAAAGGTAAACAGGAAAAAGGTAACCTATTATCTGGGACAATAAATATGAAGATGCCAGTAAAACTACATCAATAATCAAGGATATGTTACAAGATAAGACTCCTCAAATCTGAAACACTTGTAATTTTAATGGAAAAGAAGGAAGAAAAGTTCAACATCGATAACAAACAACGAACAAACCCCTTAAAAAAGGCCTCTGCATGATATAAAAATTATGAATTCTTTCCTATGAAAGAGTAAAGCATCAATCTGAACAATATTACACATTTAAAACGTCCCTCTAAACTTAAATCAGAGTTCAAAAGCAAACTCATTATCAACAAGTAAAAAGTTTTCAGTAATTTAAAAAAACATATACTAGTTAAAGTGTTTCCAACTACCAAAATGCTGTAAAGACAGCCAAAAAGGCTCTATGGACAACTACTATACAATGACTGCAAAATGCATCTGATAATAGATCCATCACTGATATAACTTAATAGTTTTCAAATAACAATTGGGAATCCTGGGTAAAATAATTCAGCATAACAGTTAATGTAATACCTAAGATGGACAAAATCATAACATCCTCATCTCCCATTTTTCCTAATGATAAATGTTTGTAAAGGCAAATGCCCAGCCTTACTTAAGATCACTGCGGATAATACCCTTTTCATATTTTTAGAAACGATGATCAATATCAATTTCACACAATCAACCACAAATCTCAAAAAGCGAGCATCCTTTTTTATGATAGAATAATGAATCAAATGTTTGATGCTCTTACCTCAGGAGAACCATCACTGTCTCCAAATACATCAGCAAAGTCACTTGGACTTTTCCTCAGAGTCTGGTCAGCAGGCAGTGTGTTGTCATTGTAAGATGTCACGAACTTAAAGTCACTGGTTCTAGATCCTGTTGTCAGATATGCGTCATAATTGTAAGCGCTGCGTAAAGTTCCTGTGCCGTCAACATCTGCGTAATTAGGAGGAAGATAAGCGCTAGGGATGGCAACTGCTCCATCAAACAACAGTCTGGGCTTTCTCCTGCGACAAAACCTCACACCCAGGATGATGATGATGAAGGTCAGAAAAAAGGTGGACACAGAAACCAGCGCGATGATCAGATAAGAGGTCAGTTTGGAATTCTTCTCATCATAAGAAATATCCTTCAGTTCTGGCACCTCAGCCAAGTTATCAGAAATAAGTAAATACATGGAACAGGTGGCAGAGAGAGAGGGCTGTCCGTTATCTTTCACTGACACAATAAGGTTCTGTTTCATGCTGTCTGATTCAGAAATGTCCCGCTGTGTCCTGATCTCTCCGCTGTGGAGACCAATAGTTAAAAGTCCCGGATCAGTGGATTTGACTATATGATAGGACAGCCAGGCGTTCTGTCCGGAGTCCGCGTCCACCGCTATCACTTTGGACACCAGAGAGCCTCCGTGTGCAGCTTTGGGGACCAGCTCGGTCAAGAACGAGTTGCCCTCCGGGGCGGGGTACAGTATCTGAGGAGAGTTGTCATTCACATCGGATATAAAGACACTGACGGTCACGTTGCTGCTGAGCGGAGGAGAACCGTTGTCTCTGGCCATCACGTGGACTTTAAAACTCCTGAACTGTTCATAATCAAACGACCTCACAGCGTGGATCACCCCCGTGTCTCCGTTAACAGACAGATAGGAGGACACCGGGGCACCGTTCACCTCACCAGCTAACAGAGAATAAATCACTGTACCGTTTTGTCTCCAGTCGGTGTCCCGAGCAGTAACGGAACATAAAGTGGAGCCAGGTTTGTTATTTTCAGTCACATATGCGCTGTAGGACTGTTCCTCAAACACAGGTGGGTTGTCGTTGATGTCTGCTACAGATAACTGAACAGTTTTAGAGGAGGACAGAGGTGGAGAGCCCTCGTCAGTGGCAGTGATTGTAATGTTGTAATCAGACACTAGTTCACGGTCCAGTTGTCCTGTAGTCACCAGAGAATAATAGTTTTTAATAGAAGGAACCAATTTAAAAGGGACGTTTTGCTGAATGGAGCAGCGGACCTGTTTGTTAGTCTCAGAGTCTCTATCCTGTACGTTAATGATGCCCACCTCTGTACCAGGTGACACATTCTCAGGTATGGGGTTAGACAGTGATTTCAGATATATTACAGGGGCATTATCATTTACATCAGATAAGTCTATGTAAACCTTAGCGTAAGAACTTAATCCCAGTCCATCTTTTGCCATGACTCGTAGTTCAAAGGATTTTTTCTTCTCAAAGTCCGTGGTACCAGTGACTCTTATTTCTCCACTTTTACTATCAATAGAAAACAGTTTTTCATCTGTCTCTGAAACATGACCAAAGCCATACGTCACGGCACCGTTAACCCCATCATCTGCATCAGTAGCACTTACTGTAACAACCACAGTGTCAAGAGGAGAGTTTTCAGGCAGACTGGCTTCATAGACGGCCTGACTGAACACTGGGGCGTTATCATTAGCATCCAGTACAGTGACGTGAATCATTACAGTACCTGATCTCTGAGGAGAGCCACCATCAACGGCTGTGAGAGGCAAATCAATCTCTTGTTGTGTCTCTCTATCAAGTTTATTTTCTAGAACAAGTTCAACTCTGTTAGCATCAATCATTAAAAGAAAATTTTCATTCTTTTGTAGGCTGTACCTCTGAACGGAATTTTGTCCAATATCAGCGTCATGTGCTTCCTCTATTAAGAAACGAGTGCCCTTTTCGGCTGACTCCCCTATTTCCATTGCAATTAAATCTCTTGTGAACTGCGGAGAGTTGTCATTTATATCTTGGATGTGTAGATTTATGCGATGTAATTCTAACGGATTCTCCAGCACAAGTTCCAGGACTAAAACGCAAGATGGTTTTGTGTCACAAAGACTCTCTCTGTCTAGCCGCTCAGCAACACTTAGATCCCCGGTCTTCAAACTGATAACACAAAACCGTTCGTTATTGCCTTCGGAATCAATACG